CCAGTCCGTCACGATCATAGATCCTCAACTCTACCGGCCTGTGCTCAAATTCAAGCACACGGTCGTTGCACAGCTCCTTCCCCATCACCTTCCTCGAGATCTTCGTCCATCTCACCTTCCTCGGATTCACTCGTCTCTCAAACAGCTTCCTGCACTTCGACCTGCAGAACCGAAACACCTTCGAGTCGTTCCTCACATACACACTTCCATGCCCCTGGTATATGCTTGACGAGCAGAACCAGCACTTCTCGATTCTCATTGGGCCCCTGCGCAGCACTGCTTTTTGTATGCAGATGCACCAGATGCAGTGCACAACAGTTGATGCACAGCACAATAATTACACACCAAATAACATAGTTATTACACAGAATGACACTATTATATTTATTACACAGCTCCTTGCTACACACTGGCATTGAAGTAGCTCAATATACAGCATCGGCCTTCAAAGTATCAACCAGCTTAGATAGCTCGTTTCTGTCTATTACAAAGTATCCTGTAGTCCGATCCAGATGCTTCCACTTATTTATTACCGACTGAATATCAGTGCAAACAGCAACCTTTCCTTCAATGCAGCCTTCGATCATAACAACCATTCCCTTTGCATCCCTATGCCTCTTTGCCACAAACATCTCAAAATAGCATCCGTATACATGAATAAGTATACCAATCGATACGCTGCTCAGAACCCTTGGAACACGGATCCTGAAAAAAAACACTCTTCCAATCCTCTTTGCATTTGCAATACATTCCCTATACATAGAAACAAGCCTGTGATAAAGTGCAGCGCTCTCTTCCATTTGTAACCCATTCATGCACGACATACTTAAGAACGCATCTATATTCGATCCCTTGAGCAAGTGGTAGCAAACAAGAAAAAAACTCTCAATGGATGTTACTTCGGTATTATGACCTATTTTCCTGATAAAACACATTCTTTCAGGAAAGCTCATGCTGATCAGCTTTCTTATTTCATAGCTCAGGTTTGTGTATTTCTCATGTGCAATTTCATTCGATATCCCCTTTCTTGCCAAATACTCATGGATCTTGGCAGACTCGCTCCTTTTGTCCTTGTGGTAGACTTTGCTTGCAAGAATAAACGGAATATCGTTCAAGAGTGCGCAGAAAAGGCTTGTGGAGTTCAGAAACGAAATCATTGGTTTCCTTACATAGTGTATTCCATCTAGTTCGGTGGACAATCTTTTTTTTTCGGCCTCAAGAACAAGATCTGCATGCAAAGACGTGCATCCATTGCACATTGCTTCCTGTCGTGTGTTGTTGATGCTGTCTGTTACGTGTCCATCTTTGTTTCTTTTCGGAATATGCCCATGATTGTTATTCTCTTGTTCATTTTCCTTTTCACATGCATGCTCTTCATGCATCAGGCCTGTATTTGTAAATATCCTGTAGAACTCAAAGCAGATGGCCATTGGCCATATCGCCTCTTCACTCATACAGTTTGCTTCTTTCGCAAGTGAATATGCCAGGACGCATGGATACATCTCACACACACTGCATGTGCACTCAAATCTGCTTCTTATGGCAGAATTGGTCCTGCTGCTCAGAAGAAGGGAATTTGCATATTCAGTGTTGTTCAAGCCAATAACGATGCAAAGGTCGTTTGTGTTCTCACAAATGTCTGGTGCATGCCCGAAGCAGATCTCAAAACGAATCATCTCCCTGTGCAGTATCGATGCGATTATATTTGCAGCACAGATGCTTGCTGGTGTTTCAGCCAAAACCACTTTTATCGATGTGGACGACTTGAGCCTGCTTATAGCTTCAGCAAGGCCTTGTGTGCATAGCATGTGCCCTGAGATGGAGATATTTTTTATGGCAGCCTAAACTGAATGCCGAGAGACAGTGCCTGGTTTGCCAAGTACAGCAAGCCCTTATGATGCAGGCAGGGCATTCGTGCAAGGAAATAGCGGTGCTTGAGGGCGTGATTGCCGAGATTCTGAGCCGATGCGATGATGCAGGCGACATTGCAAAAATGTTGGTAGCAATAAAGGAAGGAATAGCCACACACATAGATGAAATGGAGGAGTACTACGTGAAAAAGATACTTTTTGTGGCAGAAGCGAGCAATAAGAAAATCGACACGATACAGAGAGAAATTGATGGATTAGAGCAAGCATATCTTGATTTGCTGGCGAAGGCGAGCAAGATGAAGAAAGGTATCCATGCATTGAGCCTGATGGATGGAATGCGGAATTGAAGCATTGAAAACCGATGGATTATTGTTTGTATGGCAGTGCGGATGAGCAGGCGAGGAGAGTGATCTGTGTGAGTGTACATGTGTGAGCGAGTAGACTGCGTGGTAATTGTTGCGCATTAATATTGCATGAAAGGGATTTAATTGCTCCTTTACATCCCTTGAGTCCTCGATCTGAGAATATAAAAATAAGAAAGGAGAGGGGTTTGATGACAGCAGAGAGAGCAGACTACGATGGAGTTGGAGAGTCTGTGTATCAATTCCGGGACGAAAGCGATGAAGGGATGTACGAGCGCGGATATGAGGAGAACGAGACGAATTCGTTGAAGCTACGCAACTTTGTTGAGGATGATCTTTACCAGTCTGATGGGCAGATGCATTACAGGAACGAGGAGGAGATGAGGCTTAGATATGGGCGGAAGAAGAAGGAGAAAAGAAAGAAGAAGAAGAACGATGAGAACAGAAGGCCGTCTAACAGGAAGATTGTGAATCTGCCTGCACCACCGCCATATGTGCGGTTTGTGGATGGAGAGGAGCGGCTGTGCTTCAAGTACGTGACGAAGGTAAGCGAGTCGGCGAGGGATGCAATGCCAAAAGCGGATCTTGAGGACAACGAGTTTTGCGTGAGGTTTGATCTTGACAGCGTTGACATTGGCAAGCTGAACGAAAAGTTCAAGGCAGACAACTGTGTATATCCCAGAGCGAATCTTCCGAACGAGATGTACACTGGGAACCGATGGGGATTTGAGACCGAGTGCAATAGGCTTGCGTGGCAGTTTGTTTCATTGAATCCAGTTTTGCTATATGGAAAGAAAGGGCTTATACAAAGAGCAGTTGACTCATACAGGACGATCAATAAGCAGAGCAGAAACAAGAAGGTGATAAGGGAGGATCGTTTTCCCAACGACATTGAGAAACGAAGGCATGTGTCTGGAGCGCCGTCGACTGTTACGATCCAGTGGACAAACAGGGGTGTTCCAAAGAGATGCAAGATCCAGATGAACATTGAGAACATCAATTATGAAAAGATTGATGAGGAATTCAAGTCGAAGTTTTCTGTGTTTATGGATGACTTTGATGACAGGTCGTTTGGAAAGAGCAGGTGGGAGAGCTACAATGCAGACAATGAGCTTGCGGTGAAGATTGCGTTTTTGAATGTTGAGAATACTTCTTTCTGGAATGCAATCAAGGCGCTTGACAAGACAACTGTCATGAAGAAAGCCATTGAGGCATACCGGCAGAAGAAGGAGGAGTACATGAGCTCCGAGGATGACACAGAGATGTCTGACATTGTGACCAGCACTCTTGAGAACGCATCTGTGGATATGAAGAGTTGTAACACAGAGAGTTTCTACTTCTGTAATTGAGGAAGGCTGTTTTGAAGTAATTAAACAGACTAATTATTAATATGAGCTTGCTTTCAGCTTGGCTTTGCTCTTGATGAATCATTTGAAACAGTGTTTTGGAGTGTTTACTGATTTTTGTATAAAGAGGGATGGGCTTGTAAACATAATGATTCTTTTGTATTTCCTTGGCTGCCTTGCAATGATTACTGAGAGCTGTCAACCTATAAACGATGGCTATGTGCTTAGCAAGTACTTTATGCCGTGGTGCCCTGGATGCCAGAAGATTGAGCCGTTAATTGAGGAGATCAGTAACAAGATGGACAGGCACGAAATCGACATAAAGATACGAAACGTGAATTGCGACGAATGCAGCTGCAAGAATGTCACCAGCTATCCAACACTTGAGATGACTAAGGACGGAGAGCTAGTTGGCAGGCTAGAAGGTTTCCAAGACTATGATGCAATAGTTAATTTCATTGTTAGCCACGCCGGTGTTGATAGAAGCGTGCTTGATGGGCATGTTGTACTGAACGAGCCTTCTGTTAGAAAGCTGACAAAGAACGATTTCCTTAGCGGCTTTGACGGCCCACATGTTGTGCTGTTCTACTCAAGAGATGATGACAGGTACCGAGAGATGTTTGCAGAGCTTGCAAAGGTTTATGAAAACAGACTTACGTTTGGCGAGATCAATAGTGCTGAGTCTGCGGAGTTCATCAATAGGTATGATGTCAGGTCTTATCCGTCGATATCGGGAATCTTCAACGGGTTGATTGTTCCATTCATAGAGAGAGAAGGAATTCCAGATATGCCAAGACTGATTGACTTCTGCGACAAGCTGATCGAGAAGTCGTTCCAAAACCTGACTGTGGATGCGTTTAATCAGGCAGTGTCTACTCTTGAGCAAGGAGAGCCCATCTATGTTGTGTTCCACAAGAACCTTGCATTAGCCACGCAATACTTCCAGAGCATGGCACACATGTATAAATTCAAGGCAAGGATATACCGGTCGGATGATCCTGCTCTGTTCAGCAAGGCATCGATATTCCCAAAGATGCTTGGCAGCGAGCAAAATGCATACACAACCTCTGATCCTGCAGATGCAGCAATTCTTTCTGTGTATAAGAATGGAGTTTTCTATAGATACACCGACACATTTGGAGACGAGGCAAAAATAACCGACTGGATATTCCATACACACTACAAGTACCTGATGAAGGTGGACAACCAGAACTTCTACTCAATATTCCATGGTCTCAAGCCGGTGATGATTCTTGTAACAAGAGGAGAGCAGTTCGCAAACAAAATGAACGAGTTTAGTGCAGACAGGCACCTGGGTGTTCCGTACACAGACATGGTGTTTGGAACAATGGATATCGACGACTATCCTCTTTTCATTCCATCGCTTCTGCCAAGGATTTCGGTTCCCTCGCTGGTTGTGTTTGAGCCATGGATGAATCTGTTCTACCATAAGAAGGTCAAGCTTACTGAAGAGAACTTTGTGTCTGCGGCGATGGATGCATATAGCTTGTATCAGAACAAGAAGCTTCCGATGTATCCAAGCAAGAGCATTAATTTCCTGAGATATGGCATATTTGGGCTTGTGATTGCTGCAATTGGTGCCTATTACGCATCTGTATCCAGGTCTGGGAAGAGAATAAATAAAGCACATTGATTTCTGATCTGACACATTTTTGATAAATACAGCAAGCAAACAACACAGAGGGGTATGATGGAGGACTTTGTGTATGCAGCGGCTTCTGCCTTGTGCTTTTACTGGAGGGATGTTCTGAAGATTCTGTTTGAAACTCTTGTGATATACCTGGTGGTGCGATTCAGGTACAAGTCCAAGGCTGATGTCATAGTCTTTCCGAAGCATGTGATTGATAGGCTTGTGGATGAGTTCAGACCAGATAAGTTGATAACGGATGTTCCCAGCACGCTGATTCTTCCTGGTGCATATCCTGTTGATGCGCTGGATGTAGCCAGCTTCGATGTATTTTGCCTAGGAATGCAGAACAAGGACGAGATTGTTGCTGCAATAAGAAAATATGGCGTTGGAACGTGTGGCCCAAGAGGGTTCTATGGAACTTTGGATGTTCATCTTGAGCTCGAGTCTGTTATAAGCACACAAATGGGAGTGGAGGCATCCATAGTGTATCCAAACAGCTTCACTGCTGTCAACAGCGTCATCACATGCTTCTGTATGCAACAGGATGCAGTGTTTTATCACAAGGATTGCAATGAAGCAATCTTGCGAGGCATATGTCTTTCAAGGGCCAAGGCAATAGAGTTTGCTGATCTTAGCGATCTTGAATCAAAGCTTGAGGCCTTCTTCGTACCAAGGCAGAAAAGCTTTGTGGTTGTTGAGGGATTGTTCAGAAACACAGGTGCAGTTATAGACATACGAAAGCTTCTTGATATCAGGCGTAAGTACCGATTCCGGATTATTCTAGACGAGTCTTATGCTATTCCGCTGCTGCACAAGCAAGGCGTGTGTGGAATGAACAAGGTTGCGCTCCGTGAGATCGACATCATGATAGGATCGCTGTCCCACGGGTTGTGCAGCACTGGTGCATTTGTAACGGGCACATCATATACAATCGACTATCAGCGCCTAGCAGGATCCTCATACTGCTTTTCTGCATCTACGCCAAGTGCATTGATCGTGGCTGCGATACTGAACATCAAGACTGTCTTTGACTATCACGCACTTCAATCAATCACCGATGAGTTTCACCGGAGATTTGCATCCGCCACATATGAGATTGTGTCGTCCAGAGCCTCCCCGATGGTGATAGTTGCAAAGAAACCCGAGTACAGGATGAATGTGTCCAACGATGCATTACTCAAAGAAGTCCTGGATATCCGAGATGCATTTGCGCAAAGCAGTGTCATTGTTGGGTTCAACCACAATCCCACACCTTCGCTAAGGATATGTCTAAACATTAGAATGCGTAGCGAAGACATCAGCAAGCTGCTGCTATTGATTAATAAATGGTGAATACAAGGTGTTTTAATCCAATACAGTTATTGCTACTGCTCATATGCTTTCTGTTGCATTTTCAATCGACTTTTTGAGCGGAAACTTGATCAGATCGATTATCATTAGTGTTCGCTGTGTTTTCTTGCTTGGACACGCCTCAGCAAGCATTTCCACCAGTCTTGCAAAAACCACCATATGTGAGTGGTTGTAGTTGCTTAGGATGTTGTCCAGGCACTCATCCACTGTGTCGTTGATTTCTGTGTAGTTATCACTGAATATCTGTGTCTTTAACTTTTCAATCGAATCCATGCGTATGGGCATGCTTGCGTGTTCTTGATATGACTCGATTGCGTTGCGTGCATTTAGAGCCTGGATCGCTGTAAATGTGCATGCAGTGTCTCATTGCAAATATTTTCTGGGGCTGAATGCCTTTGCATGAACATTTGCAAGAACAAAGAGTTTGTGAATGTTGTTGATGACGGAGTACTGCTTGTCATGGACATAATAACGCTTGCCATTATACATAGAAAGGAATACGGTGCTGGTGCTGTGATTGTGTGCAGCGAGGAACATGTTTTTGTTGGAACAGGCGATGGAGTACTGGCCATGATAGACCTTCTTAGCATGAATGAAACCATTGTGTTTAAGTCGAATGCTCCAATGACTGCTGTGTTCTACTTGGATGGATTTCTGTATTGTGGTAGTGAAGAGGGTGTTATCCAGGTTTATGGGGTAGCTGGAGAAAGCAATGTGCAGAGGAGCAGCATACCATTAAGCTCAATGTGCAGCGAAAGTGATGGGATGGATTCTGCCCATGCGATGCCATTGATACACTTGGTTAAGGAAATCAAGCATTCGGCGCCTGTGAGGATGATATGCAGTGATGGAGTGGAGCTCTTTGTTGCAGACATGAGAAACAAGATAACGGTGTATCCGTCTAAGAAGGTGTATGACATTGTGGCGCCAAGCCTTGTGTACAAGAACTATGTGTTTGCAAGCGAAAGGAGCATGCTGTATTGCAAGACAAGAAATGCATTTTCGACGTGCCTGGCTATGGAGGAAAGGATATGTGAGTATGTTTTTAGTGAGAATGGAGGAGTGCTATTTGTGAGATGCGGAGAGGAGGTGAGTGTGGTTGATTTCAATAGCAAGGAGGTAGTAAAGAAGATGAGGCTTGGAGGTATGTTTGTGTATGATGACGATAGAAACAGGATATTGAGGTATGAAGCAGGAGTAATGAAATGTATTGAGGGAGTACTTGATAAGGAATACCCGAGCATGAATGATGTTGTGTTTAGAGCTGACGAAATAGTAGAAAAGAAGGTAAGAGTTGATGGAATGGAAGATGGCGCTGAACGAGTATATTCGGGAAATGATGAAGCGAAGAGGCCAAAAAGAAAGCGTGAATGCATGGAAGCGGCAGAGTATGCAGGCTATGAGAATTTACGTGTGTTTTTTGATGAAAGCGTTGAGGCAAGAAGAGAATTGAGTGATTTGTGGATGAAGACTGACAGTAGTGAAGTATATGAAGGATATGGAGTGAAGGACTGTGGCAGTGCACAATATCAATGCTTACAAGGAATTAGTACGAATGAAGGACTGCTTTTGTGCTACAGCATCGAAGGATACATGATTTGTGTGAAGAATGGAAGCATTCATAGAATTGAAGTTAGCTATCATGATGTGACCAGACGAACGATTGAAGTTGATGACAATAATGGATGCACACATGGAGGATTCTGTGGAGACAATGTAGCAGTTGGAAATGGATCGATGGTGTTCTACACAGGGCCTGGCATGAAATGGGAAAAGAAAATTGCATCTAAGGCGATTTGTGTCAGTGATAGCATGATTGTGACTCTTGAGGACGAGATCAGAATATTTGACTACACCGGGAAAGAGATTTTTAATTGCCTTATACCGAATGCACACATGATATGTTGTTATGGAAGAACAATTGCAGTGTTTGGAAATGAGTTATTTGTTATTGAGCTGTTTGAAAGGACTAGCAGGTACATGCTGCCATATGCTGTAAGCTTTGCATGCTTTGATGAGATTGGAAGATTATTCTATGTGATGAACAAGAAGATGTATTGTTTGTACAAAGGATTGGCCGTGAGGATGTGCGATGTTAGCACGGATGTCCTTACAGTGTTCAAGAATAATATAGTGCTGCTATCGAAGTCAAAGAGACTGTTTCCGTCACCTCATGTCGAGTATACTGCACTTAATGTGCCATTGTACATAGAGCATGATGAGGGCACAAGCATACAACAGATGAATATGAATGAAGTGGATAATAAAGAGAATGCAGATCATAATGCACAGCATATCAGTGCAGAAACAACTCAGAATGAGAATTTATTGAATGTGAGCACTAAACAGGATGTAAATCAAGTAAATAGTAAACGATACAATCCGTTCAAGTGATTCAGGGGTAAACAGTGATATTATACAGCTTGGCGTATGAATATTCAAATAAAATACAAGTATAATCATTTCCTCATATTTGCAATGCCACTGCCTGTATATTCATCGTTACATCAACAACATTTATTGATGCACATATGTTCAGACTCTACATAATGCAAATCGTTCTGAATATCCATATATGCATTTGCTTCATTTATTGTGATCTCATGTCTGTATGTATGCTGTGCTTGACTATCATAATCATTGCTAGCCCACTTGCCATTGCAATACACTTGCCTATTGTTCCTGCATTTGCCACTAACCTGCTCACCACTGCATTACTACTGCTTGTATTGCTACTTATTGCTCGTTTGCTTATGCCCATTCCTGCGGTATACAGTACCGTACATATAAGAACACCCACCGCTGTCGTATTCGACACATCTCCGCCAAACACTATTATACATTGTGAGCACATGCACTGCATCGCCATAAGTCCTATCAACATCGGCTCAATATTGCGTGTGCTGTTATGTATTGATATATACATAATAGTAATAACTATTAGCGTGACAGGTAGAATCGGTATGTTTCTGATCATTATCATTGCGTGAGTATTTGCACTTGCAGTATCATTGCTTGCATCGGCAGTTATTATTTCATTACTTCTCACACGAGCCATACTGTTAACAGATACATATACCACATACACTGCATTCACTAAAGGCAGCACAAAAGACATCACATTCACAATAACCGCCGCTGCATTTGCCACAGACACTATGCGTAACAGCACGCATACTTGGTGGACTGCCACCGCAAGCGCAATATCTGGTATCGCTCTGTTTGCAACAGCATACAGCATGCTGCGTGGAATGTGCAGAGGTATGCTTTGTGACCCATCCGCAGGCACTGATACATACCGGATATTGTGCATGCATTCACGTATGCTTTGCATGCACTTATGAATGTACCTAAGTGTGTAATGCTGTGCTGTATGTGTATGGGCACACATTGTGTTATATATTGTATTGCCAAGTGCATATATGCTGCCTGTATGAGTGTTGCTGGAATCAGCAGCGTTTCCGGTGATGGCACTTGTACCACTGACATCTGTATCACTGTCAACATTGTGCCTATGCCTCAGGTGCTCCATATTCTCAGTATGATTCGATCCTATGCTTTCATTGTTTCTGTTGCTATGATTATGTTGTTGCTCAGTCATGGGTATGCATATGCGCATCTGTATATAGAAATTTATCAGCAAATTATCTATGCAAAGCATTACTGGAAATAAAACTGGTGTCATAGAACTACCAAATAATGTTTAGGACTATGTAGGGCTTGGGCCGATGGCTGTGCTACCAGCTATGCAGAATTTAACATATTTGGCATTACGGGACTTTACATGACACAGCTCGATGTGAATGGGCTAGCAGATCTGAGCATACTCAAGATCTACAGATGTACAGCAATAAGAAAGTGTTGGCAAAGAAATGGTTGGCATATTGCAGCAGGTAA